GGGGGGGGGGGGGGGGGGTGGCAGTTCGGGGGGCAGCAGAGGGGACCTGTCGGAGCCACAGCTCAGCTCCTGGAGAAGCAAAGCTCATAGGAAACAACAGACACGTGGCTGGGAAGCATGGTCTCCGGTGCTGGAAGCTGGAAATGAGGCCCCGCTGTGTGTGTCGCAGGCCTCGCCTGTCTGCAGCTGAACCAGCCCTGGGCTCACGTCCTCTTCACACCTGCACCTAAGTCCCTCCGACAGGACGCCAGTCCCCCAAGCCCTCATCTCCACTCGGTTCAATCCGCAAAGACCCGGTTTCCAAATGAAGTCGCCCTCAGAGGTGTGGTGAGGCTTCCACATGCCTTCTTTTGTGGGGCACACAATTAGCCATGACACCGAGGGCGTGTGGACGGTGACCCCTGGAGAAACGGCTCCAGGCAGAGGAGTCTTGAGGTTAAAAACACTATTTGTTACCTGATGCTCCACTGACAGGCTCGTGCCAAGTTCGGGGGCTGGACTTCAAACCAGAGGCCATTTGAAGGTGAAAATTGGTTTTCTGATGCCTGACACCTGCATGTGTGACTCCTCTCTCCCTCCGAGTCCCTATTATGGACAGGGATTGGGGTCACTTAGATGAAACAGAAACCGGGGCCCCAAAGAGCTGTGTCTGGGGCAGCTGCCATCAGGGAGGAGTGACTCGCTCGTGGGTCTACCAACCCTTCTCCCTCATGTTTTGACATGACCAGTTGTACGACTGCCTGTACACAGATCTCTCCGGAGACGCAGTCATTTGGTTGATGAGGAGTCAGGGCTTTTCTCTGCGCCCCGATTTCTAAAGGACGGCACCCTTTTCTAACCTGGAAGGTGCTTCCCTTGGACACGTGAAACTTTGAACTGTTCTTTCAATCACTTCGTTGGCACGTTGGCCATTGCTCAGAGGCACCACTGTGGCTGCGGGTTTGGGGAGTGACGGCACAGGGCAGGAGGGGAGCCCCGAGCTGGCCGGCTGTGGTTAGACACCTGTCCTGGGCTGGCAAGACCAGGTGCCAAGTGGGGGGATCTTGTCGAGTCTCTCCTCCTCTTGGGCCTGTGGAGTCTGTCCAGGCCTGATCTATTCTCACGCCTCAGGCCTCACTGGTCTTTGCAGCTGTTGTGACGGAGTGAATAGGGAAGGGTGATGGTCAGGCCCCTGGCGTGGAAGACTCAGGTGGTCGGACAGCCGGGGAGGGACGTGCCGGAGAATGCAGCCTTCTGCCCAGAAAAGATGACTCCTCGGGCTGGAAGCCTGCTCCTGAGGTCGGGCGAGCAGGTCGGGCTGGTGTGAGGTGCTGCTGACCTGCTCCCTGTGGCTCAGTCCGCAGCGGCCAGTGGAGGCTGGCACCAGGGAACCAGGCCAGCAGGGTGTGGATGGTGAGGCACCCCAACCCCACCTGGGAAAGTCACCCAGTGCTGACCAGCTCACCTGCACGAGACTGTGTGGGGGCAACTGGGCCGCCCAGGGAAAGCCCTCGTCTTGGTGTGGGAAGCACCAAGGGGTTCAGAACCAGGCCTACTGTATGGGAGCACAGGGACTTGGCCGGAAAGCTGTCAGGAGGACATTCTGAGAAAAGGGGAGTGTGTGGAAGGCCGCCTGCCCTGTTTATGGGAATTCCGACTCAGGGGAGACTTCGGGGAGTGTTGAAGGCGGCGCCCCTAATTATTCCTTGACCTTTCCAACCAAGTCTGTGCACGTGCAGACCCCCAGGTGTTTACTGGACTCCTTATGCTTAACCCCTGGATGCCCTGGCCTAGAGGACAATGTAACATGTGTCCTCCCAAGGTTACTCACCCTGTTGATTGTATCTAAAGATAAAAATTCCAATAAAAAGCTAACAAGGCAGGCAATCGAGGCTGCTCTGGCCACTAGAGCCAGGGGCCCCTTAGCCCTCTCTTTCACAGTCAAACTGTGTCTGAGTCATCTGTTCATCCGTCGTTCAGGGAACGACGTTCTCTCTTTCACAGTCAAACTGTGTCTGAGTCATCTGTTTATAGTCGTTCAGGGGCTGCTGGTCAGCCTGCAGCCTCCTGCTTCCCTGGGGGCAGGCCTCCTCGGGGCGCCACTGGGATCTGTTCCGGGGCCTACATTCTTCCTGCTTCGTGCACAGCGGATCCCAGGCCACGTGTGGGAGGATTAACTTGGTGGCCTTTCTCCCTCTTACCCCCGAGATAAAGGGCATGTCTGTAACTCAAGGAGGGGGACACAGGGCACCTTGTGGCTTCATTATAACTGATTCCGGACTTTAATCTGCCAGGAACGTTCCCCAGGTAAGACTGCAGGTGACTTGAGCCGGCCCCTTCCCTGCCTCCCAGCATGCCCCTCTCTGGAGCCCCCCACCACTCCCATCCCCAGGGCAGGTCCCGAGCTGATTTGCAGTGGAGTCCTGGTTTCCCGGAGGCGGGTCCATTCCAAATCCTAACACCCCCCCATTTTGAAGAAACACCCATCCGTACATGGTTGGTGTTGAACCTTTAATAGACATAAAAAACGAATGCAAAAAGAACACGATGCCGACACTGAGTGTGAACGCGACCTCCCCGCTGCTCCTGTGCCGTGCTCACTGGTCACACAGTGACTAAGACGTGGGTCACTTCGGTTCGTGCACTCGCTGTAAGTATTGGCAACGGAGTCTCCAGATTCACATCTTTTGGCCACATTCTTGCTAAGAGATACAGATTTACTTCCAGCTGAAGAGAAAAAAAACACTAGTTGTTTGACCATCATCAAATATATTTAGATTCGATGACTGCTTTCAGATAATGACTTCCGGTTTTCACAAAACGCTGGCGTCTCTGCTGAAAAACCTTCGCACATTCTGGTCATTCGTCTTCAGAAAATGTATAGGGGCTCATTGCCAAGTTGAGGACAATCCCATTTTCCTCAACAAAATTCTCCTAAAACAATCAGCCACAGTAACTTAGAACTTACTGTAAGAGATTTTCTTTGAAACAACAAAGATCCCGGGCAGCCGAGTGCCCAGTCCTGCCCGCTGACCGCCGGCTTCTATCCCAGGAGCCTTTTAACCAAGCTGCTTTCCCAGAATTTAAACCAAAAACATGTACATTTCAAAATATAAAAGAAGATAAATTTGTAAGTAAGAGTTACGTTTACTGAAACCCACAGAACTGGAGAACTGAAAGGAGCCGGGCTCAGGTGGGCATGGCAACAGCGACTTCCCGGGAGGAATTATTGCTGACCTGCCTCCATGCAGGGCTGAAATGGATGGAGAACCTCTAACATCTCACTCGTTAAAAAAAATAAATATGTAGAGAATACAAGGCTCAGATTGGTTTTCGTACACATTGCACTTGAAGTGAAGGACCCGATGCTTGCAACCCGGGCCCGCGTGGCCTGTGCCAGTGGGTGGATGCACTGTGCTCGCCAACACCTCGGCACAGTCGGAAACACGAGTGCTGGAGCAGGGACGGACGGTCGTTCACAAGGCAATCACAGATTGCAGATCCTATAGGGCCGTGGCAAAGTCCTCTCGACGCTAGAGCATCAAGGAAACAGCAGTCCGGCTCATGGAGGCGGAAACCCAGGGCAGACCCGACTTCACCCACTGTCCCCTGCAGAGCTGCCCTCTCAACCCCCACTCAGTGTGCGGGGGCTCCCCTGGGCACCGTGACCCCAGGTGCGCCGCAGAGCGTGGTGGGCCTGGTGTCCTGACCACAGTGCGTGCCCCTGCAGCTCTTTTTTCACACAGCCCTATTTTTAAATCTTGTAGATAAATATCGTTCCTATCTCATCACACTCGCCTTTGTTAAGCACCGGCAAGCTCTCCACTGTGGGCAGGACCCAAACCCAGAGCTGGGACTTGGGCTTTAGTTCAAGGCTTTGTCATATGGCAACTTGTTTTTCATGAGATAAACAGCATGGAACGCTCGGAAACGGCGCCCGCGGCCCATCTGCCTCCGCTGGGTCCAGGGTCTGCAGGGCAGGGCAGGGCAGGGCAGGCACGAGGGAGCTGAGGTGGCATCTCCAGGCGAGCTGTCCCTCTGGGCGCCTGCTCACCTAAAGGGGCAGTTTCCCCGGGGAGTCCTGGTGAGTCAGGCCAGTCTCCGAGATCCCGAGGGAAGATTGTCGCTGCCCCGCCCAAGCCTGGGTGTCGGTGCCACGCCTGGCTGTCCCCCAGAAGCAGTGGCGGGAGACTCAGTCGCTGTGCGGCTTTTCGGGGACGCCCTATGAGAACAGAGAGACAGAGTGAGTAAAATGAGCACAGTGCACACAGAGCTACTAGCATTTGGGCGGACCTGAGAGGTGAAGGGGGAAGTCCCTTGACCGGGGTGATGACGGAGACGGGAAGCGGGAACGCTGGCAGAGGACACGCCTGGGGCCACTTGGCTACAGGACCAGACCTCCTGTGACAGATGTGTAAAAAGCGTGGGACCGTGTCATCCCCCAGAGCGCTGAGGACGCAGACCTTTAGGAAGCGGCCATCTGAGAGCATGAGACGGGCAGGAGGAAGAGGAAGGTCCGCAGCAACTTCAGCCCGAGGACCCAGAGCAGAACTCGCACCGCAACCTGGCCGTGAGGCCGGCTCACAAAGGGCTCAGAGCCATGTGTGCGGGGACGCATCAGGTCGGGGACTAGAGTGAGAGCACGGACGACAAGGCAGGAGTCGGCACCAGCTCAGACGGACGCATGTGCCCATGCACCGTGCCGCCAAGAACAGGGTGTGCAGTGGTGAGAGGGTGGCGATTGTGCGAGCCCAGGACCCTCTCACAGGTTAGTGACCTGTGTGTCCTCCATCAGGAGGCGCAGGGCACACTCGCGACAAGCCTAGCGCCAGCCCTCTCTGCACCCACTCGGGCCAGTGGCTGCCTCTCCATCTTTAAAATGGGGAGGGCAGTTCCTACTGCCGCCCGCCACACCCGGGACTGTCAGCCAACAACGAAGCGAAGTGAAGCGCCACAGGAGAGCCAGTTCCTTGCTGCGCAGGACGCCCTGCCGCCAGCAATCAGCCGAGGGAGGCAGACACTGCTCAGGGACGCGGCAGCTGGAAGCCTGACCTCTTTTGAGATAAAACTTTAAGCTGCTAACAGCAAGTTTCAAACCCTCTAAGAGGCTGCTGCAGGCTCAGGATGGGCTTCAAGCACACAGAAGCCACTGGAAGCATCCAGCTAGGCAAAACCCGCGCAGAGTGGCGCAACTCAGCTCTTGCACAGCAGTGACAGTGGGTCCACGAACAGCCTCCTTGTAGCCCAATGAGCTGCAGGGAACCTAACCCCTGTGTGTCGATCAGCCTGTGGTCAAACCTCTCAAAGTTGCAGAACCTGTCAACAGTGTTAGTGAAGACTGACTATACTTCTCTGCGAGGGGGGGGCTAGGGAAGGGGGGGGCACCTGGGTGAGGACAGAAAAGCATTTGAAGAGGACAGGACGGAACCAGGGACAGGGATGCATTTGAAGAGGCTACAGACAAGAATCGCCGTGACGACGGACCAGCAGGAGCCCATGGTGACAGTGGACTCGGCCAGACCTGGTCGCTGAACACGGTGCCCACCTGGGGTCTCCACCCGCAGACCTCGCCTTCGTCACTGTCACAGCCTCACACCTGGCAGAGGTCAGTTCAAAGCGCGCTGTGAACCGGCCGACAGCGCAGAGCCAGGCGCGTTCCTCGCGTCGCCCGTGGGAGTGCACAG